TTTTCATGCCTTTTCTAGATTATTTGACAATTCTGTAGTTCTACTGTGACTAATTCTTACTGCTCTGAAAATAGCAGCTCCATTACAGTCAAGATGCAGCAATGCAAAGGAATAAATGTGTCTGGGGAAAAAATATATTAATTATGTGAAGGCAAGGGTCTCTTATAATATATTGCTTTACCACCCTTGTAATGCTTCGCCGTGTTTTGCGTGTCACTAATACAAATTCTTCTTTGGCAAGCGTGCAATTATTTGCATTACCATGCATTGAAAATGGTGTATCTGAGAATAACTGCTGTGGTGTAGTGCAGAAGCACAAGGAGTTGATGTAAAACCTTTGCTCTTCAATGCAAGTAGGAGATGCGGTAAGCCTGTTTGAGGGCTCCTAATCCAGTGCCCCTTCTCTCTTAATGTTGACCTCTATTCCTCTAGCTGCGTTTGATTTCTGGCAGGCTTTTCATGACCCCATGCGGCAGCACAGTCCCAAATTAATAAGGATCTGTGTTGACAGCTGCTTCAAAAGCTTCTGGCCTTTTTCAGGGATTTTTTTTTTTCCCTTGTGCACAGGGTGTTGGATGCAGGCGCCCCAGCGTTTCTTCTGGTGTTTGCTTTTCTGTGCAGTTCTGGCCCCCGGTGCTTGGTGCATCTGGTTTTTTTGCTTTCTTTTGCAAATTAACTGCTGCAAGGATAGGTTTTTGCTTATTGTTGATGTGTGGCTACTGAATGATTGAAAAGGAAATGTCTTCCGTTGTGTTCTACCAGTGAAGGCTGCGTCTAGGTCTCTTCTTGAATCTGACTTGTGCCTCAAGGTGTGTGCTTGTTGCTTTCTAGTCATCATGACAGTATTTATTAATTATTTGCTCCTTATTTCTTTGATATACGTTAGCTGGGGGTTTGTATTCTGTGCTTTTGTTGTTGCGGTAGCGTCTAGGTTTCACCATTGTGGTGCTTCCACAAATTACTTTTGAGAATTTGCACACCATCTGCGTGCAATAATAAAGCTTTTAGCAACTCCAGATTGCCATGCTCATGGTGGGGAGTGTGGATGAAAGCCAGCCCAATGAATTAAGGTCATGTCCCTACTGGGGACGGAAAGCAAACTCTAGGTAAAACAATCTAGATGATCCCTTTGAGAGGCATCTGTTCCTGGTAGGACTTTGGCAATCACGGTTGTGGCTGTTAATCTTCAGGCTTCCAGCCACTGAGGGGTAGAAGAAACACGGGGACTTGCTCCAGGCATTAATGGACACCTGCAGGAAAAATACTTTGTGTTTTTGGCAGTCACAGGTGGATGGAAAGTATTGTTGAGTAGGAAACTTGTAAAGCTAGCCACACAAGTTAAAAAAAAATAAAATCATGATACAAAGCAAAATAGATGATAACCACTTTTCAGACAAGGTTTTTAAGAAGGATTAATACAGCTACTGAATCTCTCAGATCAGTGCAGAAGTACTTCATAATACCAAAATTTTAAGAACCTGACATTTACAATATTGAGGAAAAAATAAAAGCTTTTGAATATAGGTCTGTGTGGGAGGAAATAATGTCAAAAGGAAAAAACCCATGAACTGTTGTATGGGATAAATACACTATATTAAGAAAATCGCAGTGTGAGAGGATGTCTTGTGGCACAAATTAAAAAAAAAAAAAATCAGTGGCAGGAGGAGCATCCTGGGATGTTACCCCAGGGTCACCATTTCTCGTAGAAATTCTAGGCCTGGTAAGAGATGAATTTGTTCCAGTTTTTCTTACAGTGGGCCTCTTGCTACCCACTTTCTCATCTTCCCACTTTTTTGTCTCTATGAGCAGAGGATTACAGTACACAAAAGTTCTACCAAATATAATCCTCTGTCTTGGTGCAAATGATACTGTTTTTTAATGAAGAAATAGATTAAAATGTCGCTACCTTTATTTGACTGAATGTGTTGCTTCATCAGTAGCATAAAATGTAACCGTACTTTAGCTGTGGGTGGCTAACATTTATTTTCCACTTGTATCACAATCACATTTCCATATGTTCATATAAATTAAGAAGAATACATTTCATTTTCAGGAGTACAAAGGGCCACGATTGTGTACGATCAACTGAAATTAAACCCAACGTCCGTCTGTGAATCATGCTGTGAGAAGTATGACGTAGTCTTGCTGTCAGTGTGCCTGAACCTCTGGATCCCGTGTTTGATTAGTTTTGATCACGTGGTGATAAAAGTTTAATTATCTTTTACAAGCAGGAGTTTTCCCAAGAGTTCTCGTTGTAACTTTGAATGATTTCTTGAATACCTTTTTAGTAGTTGTAGATGAGGTGGTATTGTGTCGCTGCATAGAGCAGGAGAACTCTCTACACCACCAAAGTATTTTCAGTCTCTCTCGGAGCTCGGCCGCCCGAGCCACATGTTCTACTGTCGCGTAGAAGCCGCTCGTCTCGGTAGGCTGGTTCTGCGCTTGACCAGAGGGCTGGGGTAGCAGGTAGGTTTATCTCCAGCCCAGTTACCTTCCAGTTGCGCTTTACACCCTTTGTTGGCCGCTTCCGTCTGGCTTCTGACGCAGGGGTGCTTGAGAGAATCAGCTTGAGAGATTGCTGGTTCGAGCTCGGCTGTGGTAGGCAATCGGGAGTAAGCTGGCATGAACTTCAAATAAAGTTATTCCTCTCGGCTTTGGAGAAACAATGGAATGCCAGTTAAAGGAAGAAACAGATCTGTCTCTCCTACAGAAATACCCATCAGCTGTATGGAGTGAAGCTTCTAATAAAAATCAAAACAGTGAGGAGTTTGTGATTTGGTGGGGCATCTTTTGTTCTGAAATTTCAGCAACCAGATGTTGTTTTGGCCAGTCTCACGATTTCCAGCGCTACCTTGTTTTTATATATCTGAGATATATTTAAAGTTCAGTGTATGTTGTTTTCTTAAGGATGTGTATGATGTGCCTATTCACGCCCAAGGATCCAGAAATACTGTTTGAATTGATTGGTATGTAAATCATTCTCTGCTTTGGAAAGATAGGAGATCATTTCTCCAGCAGTAATTCAATCATAGCTTGTTTTTTGTATAGCCACAATACCCTTGCCTAAATTTAATTCAAAGTTTGTGTCTCCTAGCTACAGTTGTAGTACTTCTGTTGCCATGAGTAGAAACGCCATAAATTACAACAAAAGTGAAGGACAATAGTAAAGGGATCTTTTCTGGGGTAAGGATAGGGCGGGAAAACCGAGTTTTTGTTTTCAGGCTTTTGCACAAGACTAAAAATCTGCCAAGTCCTGCTGTTGTCCAGCACAGATTTTTGACCAATACATGTGTATGGCAAAATACATTTTTTTTTTTTCTACTTACAGGTCAGCTAAAATCCCGAGCATTGCAGTGTGATTGCTTTGAGATCTATCCCCTTGGCTGCAAGTCATTTTCCGTTAGGTATCCCATGGAATAGTGAATGTTTAGCTTGGTTAACCAAAACCTTGGGTTTGTTGGTACCAGTTGAAGGCAGTGTGTGGACTCGGGCTTGCAAGGGTGCCAGTCTCACGCTTTGGTTTTTGACAAAAGGACCTTAATTGCTGACGAGCCTCACTCCAGTCTCTTACTGGTTTGATCAGTTCAAAGACCAATTCCCGTAGCGATGGGCCTGTCTTAAGCCTTGGCAGTGGAGCAGTCTGGTATCCAGGTTGGAGAATGAGCTTCTGCATACCACGGGAACGCGTTTGCCAGCATGTCAAGTGAGTAAAACGCTCTTGACGAACAACATACGAGCATCCTGTGATGATGTCTTTGCCTTGTACACAGTGAAGAGGTTTTTCTGGTTAACTGTGTGCGATGGTATTAGTTTATGGTGTGAATACAAGTTTAAGTGCTGTGTTGTGCATCTCTTGCGTGTCTGCTCTCTGCAATGCCATGGGGTTGTCTAGTTTGGTGTAGGTTGTCTCGGGGACTGTTGGGGACAGCGAAGCCTTTGGGTTTTGTGTATATGTATGCACGAGGTGCTTCCCTACCTGGAGCAACATCTGGGTTTCTGGTGGGACACAGTTCTCAGCTTTGCCCGTGGTGTCAGGTGTCTCCTAAGCAACGCAAACTGCACCTAGCAAAGACACGTTTATTCCAAGAATAAGCATTTCCCCAAAAAGGACTGGGCTGGAAAAGCCTTAAGTTAGGGCTGAACGTTGGAATTCGCGTCCCTGCTTTGGGCGGCCGTCATGTGCCGTGCGGAGGTGCTGAGGGGAGGAGCAGGGCTGTGCGGCGGGTGTCTGTCTGTCTGTCTGTCTGAGGGAGTGGGTGCGTGTCTGCCT